TCTGTTAGCTCCCTTCCTCCTGGATAGTGGTATTCAATGAAACGATGGGTAGGGATGATCTGAGGTCAAGGAACACTGGGAATTGACAGGTCGCAGGTAGCAAACCAGTGACCTTGGAATCATGAGCAAATAGTTCAAACCAACTGTTCTAAGATAAGTGAGTTTCTGAATGTCTAGAATACCAACATCTCAGCTAAGATTAAACTCTCTCTCTCTCTCTCTCTCTCTGAGTATATGTCATAATCATATCACATTGTAGTGAAATTTTTTTAAACTGTAAAAAGTGAACATGTGATTCGCAAGCTATGTGATGTTATAGGGAAACATTTTAGACCTTTGCTGTTCTGGGAGTTCAAAGGCTCAGAGCTTTCCTGAGCTCTGCCTTCAACTGACTCATGGCCATGAATAGAATACTCACTTCTCCGGAACTCAGTTTCCCCCACCTGTCAAATAAAGTCATTGCACTGATCTTTAATGTCCCACCAACTGTAATGTCTGATGATTTCATGAATCTAAAAATTGCCTTTTGGGGATAGGCCTATAGGATATAAATTACAGTAAAACTGACTAAAAATTAAAAGGAAAATCATCTGCTATTTTAGCCTAATAAGAATTACTTAACTGCACAAAGAGAACTCATCAGGCTTAATAGGAACTCTTAATTCTGTGGATCTACCACTTTTTTATTTTTCCTCTGACAGTTATCTCTAATGAGTATGTCAAGGGCAAGATGAATCTGTGATGACACAAAGCCAGCTATGGAAATATTTACCTATATGATGGCTAAGGAGAGGGGACTATAACCCAGATTAAATGGATATTTACAAAACCCAGTGAACTACCTCAAAATAGGGTTCTCTTTTGGCTTTTTCTACTGATAATGGTAGTAACATAATCTTTAACTTTTTGATTCAGCTTGTTAAATATTGTCTACTTAGCTAATTAAGCCCTGATTTATGTCCTACATAAAAATAAATCTCCTCTTAAGACTTCTTACTAGTATATGGGAGTGATTTGCACCTCCCAGTTTTGAGCCACTCAAGCTGTTCACTTCATAAGGGATTGGTGCAATAAGCTGCATTTATCAGTATTCCAAATACCAGCACGTGAAGCTTGATCTTCTTGAGACTGTTCATCCTTGCTGCTGCATTCATCTGAAAGATCAATGAGAACATAAAATACTTTTTCTAGAATACTTTCACTTTTATTGCATCTATAATATAAATGCTATTTTAGTAAATAAAGATGGTTCAGCTCATTGCAGAAGTGTGTTTTCTCATTATCTTCCAGTAGTACCCAGAACCAAAATATAAGTTTTAGTCACTCTGGGATTTTCCAGCTTCATGTCAGAATCTGGAAACTACAAGGCAAAATTATCTAAAGAAGTGATCATTTTCCTGCTTTAAACAGGATAAATATAAAACCAATAGCTTTATTTATATATATTTTTTACTGGAAAAGTTATTTTTTTTCTCCGATGTTTAGCTCTAGAGAACCTTGACATATAAAAATTTTCTCTTTGCAAAATAGACTTAACTGCATTTCAAAAGAATAACATGTTTCATGCTGATCCCTTGTGAAGTATATTTTTAAATCATCTGGTAGTAAAGTATTATATATTAATTTTTAGCCTCTAATAGAAACAAATTATTTCTCAAATATCCTGGATAATTCCATTGTAGAACTGAAAGGCTGTACAAACTTGACCCAAAGGAAGGCTATTACATATTGTTAAAACAGTTCTCATGTAGTCATCCTATCTCATAAAAGACAAAAAGGGTAATTGACCGTACCTTCACTATGCTTCCCATTGGCTAATCAGGGTGATATGCAAATTAACCACCAGCCAAGATGGCAGCCGGCAGACATGCAGCTGAAGCGAGCAGGAGGCTTGCTTGCTCCAGTGATGGAAGAAGCCAAGGTTCCCTGCCTGCCGCAGCCCAGCTCTAAGCTCCGAAAGCAACAAAGTTTCAATTATAGAAGCTAAACAAACCCCAGATACCTGCTTTCAGCAGGCCGTGGCCTCAGAGCTGGAGCTGGCTCTCAGCTCCAGTGACAGCAACGAAGTTTCAATTATAGAAGGTAAATAAATCCCAGAATAAAAAATTAACTTTTTTATTCCGCTTGTTAAATATTGTCTGCTTAGCTAATTAAGCCCTGATTTATGTCCTACATAAAAATAAATCTCCTCTTAAGACTTCTTACTAGTATATGGGAGTGATTTGAGCCACTCAAGCTGTTCACTTCATAAGGGATTAGTGCAATAAGCTGCATTTATCAGTATTCCAAATACCAGCACGTGAAGCTTGATCTTCTTGAGACTGTTCATCCTTGCTGCTGCATTCATCTGAAAGATCAATGAGAACATAAAATAGTTTTTCTAGAATACTTTCACTTTTATTGCATCTATAATATAAATGCTATTTTAGTAAATAAAGATGGTTCAGCTCATTGCAGAAGTGTGTTTTCTCATTATCTTCCCAGTAGTACCCAGAACCAAAATATAAGTTTTAGTCACTCTGGGATTTTCCAGCTTCATGTCAGAATCTGGAAACTACAAGGCAAAATTATCTAAAGAAGTGATCATTTTCCTGCTTTAAACAGGATAAATATAAAACCAATAGCTACGATCACTTGCTGGCTCCTCCCCGGCCCAGGCCTAAAGCCTCTGGCCTAGGCTTTAGGCCTGGGCTGGGGCACCCCCAGCTCGCCGCCGCCGCCGCCATCTTGGCTGACAGTTAATTTGCATATACTCACTGATTAGCCAATGAAAAGGGTAGCGGTCGTACGCTAATTACCATGTTTCTCTTTTATTAGTGTAGATTTTTAGCCTCTAATAGAAACAAATTATTTCTCAAATATCCTGGATAATTCCATTGTAGAACTGAAAGGCTGTACAAACTTGACCCAAAGGAAGGCTATTACATATTGTTAAAACAGTTCTCATGTAGTCATCCTATCTCATAAAAGACAAAAAGGGTAATTGACCGTACCTTCACTATGCTTCCCATTGGCTAATCAGGGTGATATGCAAATTAACCACCAGCCAAGATGGCAGCCGGCAGACATGCAGCTGAAGCGAGCAGGAGGCTTGCTTGCTCCAGTGATGGAAGAAGCCAAGGTTCCCTGCCTGCCGCAGCCCAGCTCTAAGCTCCGAAAGCAACAAAGTTTCAATTATAGAAGCTAAACAAACCCCAGATACCTGCTTTCAGCAGGCCGTGGCCTCAGAGCTGGAGCTGGCTCTCAGCTCCAGTGACAGCAACGAAGTTTCAATTATAGAAGGTAAATAAATCCCAGAATAAAAAATAAAAGAAAAAAAGGAGAGGCTGGGAGCTTCAGTCGCCAGCCAGCCTGAAAACAGCCCTCAGCCACTCACCCAGACTGGCCAGGCACCCTAGTGGGGATCCCCACCCTAAAGGGGGTGTGGTCAGCCTGAAAACAGCCATCAGCCCCTCATCCAGGCTGGCCAGGCACCCCAGTGGGGAC